CTTAAAATGTAGTATGGCTAGGTTAATGTTTACTTGTACTTTATTTCACTTAGCACTGGGTTATCAAGTGTACATCAAATAGCCTTCCCTGGATCTCCTAGAGCTTACTGGAAATTTTAATTTATTGAAGGAGTTTCATATATACAGACCTTCCATGAAACAATTAGCACAGCATCTTGTCTGGCCATTATCTACATCATAAAGTTGTTCAAAGAATTAATCAAAATGGTATACATACAAGTGTTTCAAAGTTATAAAATTCCATTAAAATGTTTACTTGTATTACTATTCATAATTGACTGCTTTTGTAGAATATTAAAAGAAATAAGGACATAAATAGATTCTTCATAAATATTTAATGTATCAGGGATCTTGAGTATAAACTAGCCCAAACCCCTTATTTTATATGACGTTCAGTGAGAAGTAACTTAGGCTAGGCCATACTCAATAAAATAATGACAAGAGCTTTGATAAGCCAGGGCTCCTGATTCAAGATGAATGCAATGGGTTCACCACTAGAGTTAGCTGCCTCACACTTTGATTATTCAAAATTAACACGAGCTGAACAGATTTCTATTCTCCACTGGCCCAAATTCTTCTATACTGAAAACAGAAAATGAGCAGTGAGTCAATTCTGGAGCCCAGATTTATAATTTATACAGTAATGATGTAGCATGCTTCCATGTAAGAAGGCAATCTTCGGTAAAAGATTCTGACTGTTAATAATTCTCCCTCAGGTATTCATCTTTCTGGATGTATATTGAAAATACTTGCCTGCAATGAAGGAATCAACTGCAATGACATTAATCTCCTAACTAAAAGTGCAGGACAATGTGAAAAATGAAAGTCTGAAAAAGATGGGGGTATGGGGAGGATTCATGTCAAGTAAATCAGTATCCCAAGATGCTTACCAATAGTATTAAAGTTCATGCTATTTTGTTTTTAGAATTTAGCATTTATAACCCGAACTGCAGTTGCCCCAAAATAAGTAGTCAATTGTAGGGTACTTAAAACATAGGGTTTGGAAGCACTGCTCTGTGGATAGTTATATAATGAAAATAATGTACAGTATCACGGAAAGACTAACGGCTAAAGTTGCTGGGACCGGGCTATATTTTCATATAGAACACTTTTTTATCTGTGTGTCTAAATCTATAAAACAGCAAAAATATTTGCAATCATTAATTTTTCAGGAAGTTATTCCCATTTCTGAGTATAATATACATGTATAAGAGACCACCTGTCTTATCAATTTTTCAGTACACTTCTCAAAGTCAGACACCATATAGTGTTAACATGTTTTTAAGCTTTCACTGTATCTAGCATAAATCTGGGTATACTGTAAGCATTCAGTACTGACAGAATGAGTTTTCTGTTATTGGACTTTTTTAAATTCATCACAATCTGGAATTGTGATGCCTAACTCACATTCCTCTACACATCTGTAGCAAAATATGCACAAAAACACTGCAGAAGTCTAACTGATATGTACAGAAAATTTAAAATACAGACATGTCCTAAGTTAAAAACTCAAACTATGCAAACTGTTCCACAAGGCCCATAAAATACAAAGCAGTGATAATTATAATTTACAAACACAAAATATAATGCACAGGCAAAATATAAAAAACACCATATAAAAAGTTCCATGATCCTAAGGAAAGTTTGAATTAGTAATGGGTTATTCAAAATACTTGCTTTATTTTTTAAAACCCACAATGTAAAATGAGTGCTGTATAAGAACAAGGGAAGTGAGAAATTTTATAAAGCAAGATACTTATACCACACAGCAAATGTTTACTGTGGATAAAAGTGCATTCTTTACAAGAAAAGCCAGCTAGGACATATATTTCAAAAGAAAGTTGAAGTTTAAGACTGTGAAAAATAGCCTGATGATTTTACTTGGACCCAACACAGGATAAGATTGCATTTCTGCAAAAATATAGCACCAGTGTTTTTAGCTCAAGTGCTATTTTAATATTTTTCCAAAATCAAATAACTCAGAAACAGTTGGAGAATACCTGTACCATTCAATTATTTAACACTATCTGGGAAAAATTCTCTTCTTGCAATACTGTAGATAGATTATTGTACTGAGAAAATATCCAGAACCAATAAATGTTTAACCTTCAAAACTAATGAACATGGACCAATAGAAAGCAGATAAGGAAAGAACTTATATGCATCCCCCCAAAATGGTAATTCTCACTTCAGACACTTGTAGTCCATTACTCCTAGTCTACAACCTCCCTTTACTCCAGCCCATATATCTCTCATCAGCACCATGCAAGAGTGGCTTGGTGGGATTTTTAACCTCAACCAATAATCTGCATCAGCCTCTCCAAGAGATAGCCTAAGAATATACATACTAAATAAAGCAATGTTCTTGCTATTGCAAAAGAAGTTTCAAGACAAGAAACCTTGTGATATCATTCCAAATAAGTTGCTGCCCCTTCCCCCACACAGAAATCAGGAATATGTCACTATACTGTGCTTTGTTAAGAGAATAACACAGTGATAAAAGGATGGATTTGAAGTCAGGCCATACAAATATTTGTAAATTTTGACAAGTGCCACAACACAAAAAAATAAGATAGCACTGGTTTAATGAAACAGGCAATCTTAAAAATTTATATAGTTGGTAGAAATTTAAATTAGTGCAACCATCCTGGAAGGCAATATAAGTATCCAAAAACCTAAAAATATGTATACAGTTTGACCCAGAAACTCAATTATTAATTGAATTTATTCAATGTCTTCTAGGAAAACAATGTCTTCTAGGAAAACAAACAATGTCTTCTAGGAATTTATTCAATGTCTTCTAGGAAAACGATAGGTTAAGTAAGCAAGGATGAATGTACAAGAGTGTCCTCTAATGTGTATAACTCCAAAATACCACAAAAACTCTAAATGTCTAACAGCATAGGACTGAATGGTAAAATTATTATGCCACAACCATACCATGAAGTACCATCCAAACATTAAACATTAAAAAGAATGATGGGGCTTCCCTGGTGGCGCAGTGGTTGAGAGTCCGCCTGCTGATGCAGGGGACACGGGTTCGTGCCCCAGTCTGGGAAGATCCCACATGCCGCGGAGCGGCTGGGCCCGTGAGCCATGGCCACTGAGCCTGCGCATCCGGAGCCTGTGCTCCACAACGGGAGAGGCCACAACAGTGAGACACCCGCGTACCGCAAAAAAAAAAAAAGAATGATATATATCACATTTACTTGGATAGAAAGACATTCATGATAGGTTGTTAAGTGAAAAGGGCAGATTACAAAAGGGCAGGAATAGAACAATCTAATTTGTATTTTTTAAATTTTAATCATATAATTAAGAGAAAACATTCTGAAATAATATACCCAAAAATGTTAAACAATAACTATCTCTAAGTGATGGAATTAAAGGTGATTACTAATTTATTCTTTGTAAATTTATACATTTTCTCATTTTTCTATAATGAGTTATTACTTTTACAAGCCGTAAATAGTTTTTTTATATTTTGAATTTAAAAATTAATAGTGGTAAATCTACACAAAACAAATAGCTTATTAACAGTTGATTATGTAAATCCATGTACGGACTTGAATATACCTACAGGACTAATCTCAGCTCTATAATTATACACCTTGAGTTGTGACTTTCAAAACTTAGCACTTCTTCAAAATTCTAATTTAGACGTTTTTCGGATTTCAAAGGTATGGAGAGACCTCTGTGTCATCCTAACACAACCAATACTGTTCCTGTACTGTTGTACAATTTATTTTTAGTTTGCTTTGCAATTGTAAATAAATTACAGTTTTATCAATGTGCAGTGCTGTGCTGTGCTGGGCCTTGCCTTTTGAGTTACTGCCCACCCCCCCTTAAAAAAACTAAACCACTTCTATAATAAACTGCCTGAAGTTCATAAGGAAAGCCACAGCGGAATGCCACTTCCGGTACGCGGGCCTCTCACTGTTGTGCCCTCTCCTGTTGCGGAGCACAGGCTCCGGACCCACAGGCTCAGCGGCCATGGCTCACGGGCCCAGCCGCTCCACGGCATGTGGGATCTTCCGGACCGGGGCACGAACCCATGTCCCCTGCATCAGCAGGCGGACTCTCAACCACTGCGCCACCAGGGAAGCCCAGAATGCCACTTCTTTAACAGCTTTAGAAAGGAGTAATCATCAGTGAGACTCCCCACCCCCACCCCAAGAAATGAAGGAGAAACATCAAGTAGTTATGCAGACATTCAAACAAGTCTGATTTTTCTCTCCTTCCAATCTCCACCACAATACTACAGGGGAAGACAAACCTTAATATACATTCAGAGAAGAGAAGTTTAAAAATAAATTACCTAAGATTTCATAATAATTTATTAATCTAATACTAAACTAAATAGGAACTTCATATTAAAAATACGACATTTAGATTTTAGTCTTTCAGATTAGAATTATAGACGGACTATGTATGGTATGCTGAACTACCTACAAGGAATGTTAAAGACATTCAAGAATACATAGAATTTCATTACTTGTCATATAAAGAAAAAAGTACTTGAAATAAGTCATACAGCGAAAGACAAATACTGCATGATCTGACTTATATGAGTAATCTAAAAAGAAAACCAAATCATAAGAATCATAAGTTTACCAGAGTCAACTGGTAGTTGGCAGGTGTGGGTGGAGAATGAGTAAAGGTGGTCAAAAGGTGCAAACTTCCAGTTATAAGATGAATAAGTTCTGGGGATCCAATGTACAGCATAGTAACTATAGTTAAACAATACCTCATTATATACTTGAAAGTTGCTGAAAGAGTAATCTTAAAAGTTCCCACCAAAAAAAAAAAAAAAAAAAGAACTACGTGAGGTGATGAATGTGCTAACTAACCTTTCTGTGGCTATCAGTCTGCAATACTTATGTATATCAAATCATCACGATGTACACCTTAAACTTACACAATCTTATATGTCAAGCACATCTCAATAAAGCTGAAAAAAGAAAAAAGAAAGTACTTACCACTAAGTCCCAATTATTTTGTTCAAGCAACGTAATAGCTTCATCAATGTTTTCAATGCCAGTACATGCCTAAAAACAAAGTAAGAATTTTAGATAGGATTTTGGGAGTGGAGAGGTTAATTAGTGTTAAAAAAAATAAACAGCATAATGTGTAATTTAAGTTTGAACAGGTATATGAATAAAGCCAATACACTAAATGCCTAAAACTTCTAAGCATTTTACACAGACGGTTTGAAAATTGTTAATTACAATGTAAATTTACATTACACTGAAATAAAAGACAATAAAGTAATATAATATGTTTAAATGTTGAGCTCTGGAGCCCAGGATGATCTCTATATCTCTAACTGCCCAGAACAATTTTATTAAGAGCTTCTGATGGACAACCATGTGTTAAAAATGAACTTCAATCCGTACTTTGTACTTTATACAAAAATTAACTCAAAATAATAACAGACGAAAACCCCGCTGCAGCCATTGCCACAACCACAATGCTGAAGTGCAAGAAGCAGAGTCAGCAGCAGCCCCCACTGCCAGAACAGGAAGACACTGGAGAGGGATGAAAGTCCCATCGGACCACCCAGCCTCTTGGGCCCTCCCATCATGACCAATGGAAACCCTGGTGACCCCAAATCAGCTCTTCACAGAGGTCCTCCAGGGTCAAGGGGACCAATGATTCCACCACTGCTGAGTCTCCCACCTCTTCCCTGGAGCAGAGGCCGAATTTGGGGAGGGCTGAGCTCCAAATCTGGCTCATATGGTCACAGTTGGTGGAGGGGCTAATGCTAAACTTCCTTTTCCTGGACCAGGCCATGGAGATCCCTCCAGGGAGGCTTACACAAAGAGCGGAGAAATCCTCAAAGCCTCAAGAGCTGGTCTCTTATCAAGAATACCTGCCCAGAGCTTCCCCGGTGGCACAGTTGTTGGGAGTCCGCCTGCCGATGCAGGGGACATGGTTTCGTGCCCCGGTCCGGGAGGATCCCAAATGCCGCAGAGCGGCTGGGCCCGTGGGCCATGGTCGCTGGGCCTGCGCGTCCGGAGCCTGTGCTCTGCAGTGGGAAAGGCCGCGATGGTGAGAGGCCCGCATACCGCAAAAAAAAAAAACAAACTTATACCTGCCCATCCAAGGATGGACCCCAGGTTATGGAAGTCAGATTCAACCACCCTGTCTGCCGGCATTTTGCCAAAAAGGTCCACTGTCCATATAAGGACTGAGCTCTGCCTTCTACCACACAGAGTCCATGGACCTCCTCTGTGAGACTGTGCCTTCCCATCCAGGCTTGAAGGAGCCTTCTGTGACCTAGTGGCCATGTACTTCCCTGTGGCCCTGTGATGTCTACTGGGGGGATGTTCCAACTACCACCCTCAGTCAGTGACACCTATCCCCATGGCCACCTCCCCCATGTGGGGTCTAAAGTTGTGTTTCATCACTGGTGCACGGTGTGCACTCTTTCTTCTGATCCAGCCTCCAGAGCCTCATCTTCAGGACCCCATCTTTATTCCATTCAACTGCCTCCTGGATCCTCTTCCCCCTTGCCAATGGATGGCTGAACAGGAAACCTCTCTAGTGCTGTTTCTTGTTCATCTGTCCACCGAGCCCCCAGTGTTGCCCTTGATTCCTGAGAGCCGGAGAGCAGTTTCCTACCATTCCCTTCTTCTAGCTGCTTGCTTTAAGTCCATTATATGTCACAACCCTTACCCCCAATGTTGTCACCTGCTCTGTGAAACTCATCAGGTTGTCTGACCTGGGGTCAATTTTAAATGACTGGTACAGAGTTACTCCCTAAAAGGCTATACACTTCCTGTTTTGGGGTTTTGTAATTTGTGTGTCAATAGCATGATCACCACTGCTATGGTCTGTGGTCAGTGCACTTTGTGAAACTGTACGTCCCCTCGTAGCCTTTCTCAGTGTCCACACATTTTTGTGACTTCCAACAGTTGAGTACATTCTTCTGCCAAATTGAGTGAGGTCACTGGTACCCTCTAGACTTTCCCCACCTCCCAACATGGGAGAATTATGAAACTTTCCACAAGACTGCCTCCCTGGCCCTCCCCATTCTTCTTCTAGTGTCAGTTTCTCTGGGTTTGACACAGGCCCAAGAGATGTCCTCTAAAGCCTCTGATGGGCCTACCCTATCTCCTCTCCAGCCCATTTTACTTAGACTACATCACTGTGAGGCCACCAGCCCTTTTGTTTGAACTCTGTGTATCTCCACTTGGCCTACCTTTGGATAGAACCTGGGCAGTACTCTTGCCCACTTCCAACCTTCTTCTACATCCCTGGCACTGGTTGTTTTCTATGAAAATGGCAGTGAACAGGTTCATACTTGAACTGGCCCTGAGGAAATAGGTCAGGAGTTGTGCGGGCAAGAGGGAGGGATGAGAGCCATTGGAGAAACGAGAATGAATTATTTTCTTAAATTTTTTTATATTAGTTACAAACGCAGTGGAAAATAAATACATACATACCTAAATAAATAAATAAATAACCTAAAGTAAAACCCCAAACTACAAAGCCTCTAGATCTGTGCTGTCAGATATGGTAGCTACTAGACAGATATGGCTAATGAGCCCTTGAAATGTGGCTCAACTGAGTTAACATGTGTTGCATTAAATACATACCAGTGTAGGCCTTAGTACAAAAATAAAAATGTAAAGTATCTCAATAATTTTTCTAGTGAATAAAAGTTGAAACGATCATTTAAAATATATTAGCTTAAATACAACATAAATGTTTAAATTAATTTCACCTGTTTCTTTCACATTTTATGCGTCTTAATGTGGATACTAAAAAATTTTTAATTACATATATGACATTCAATTTCTAATACCATTCTAGAAAAAAACATAGAAGGAAATCTTTGTGACATTTAGATTCAACAGCAAAAGTACAATCCAAAAAATTGATAAAGAGGACTTTATTAAGAACTACTACTCAGGGTTTCCCTGGTGCGCAGTGGTTGAGAGTCTGCCTGCCGATGAAGAGGACACGGGTTCATGCCCCAGTCCGGGAAGATCCCACATGCCGCGGAGCGGCTAGGCCCATGAGCCATGGCCACTGGGCCTGCGCGTCCGGAGCCTGTGCTCCACAACGGGAGAGGCCACAACAGTGAGAGGCCCGTGTACTGAAAAAAAAAAAAAAAAAAAAAAAAAAAAGAACTACTACTCAGAAATTTCCTGGCAGTCCAGTGGTTAGGACTCCGCACTTTCACTGCCAAGGGCCCAGGTTCCATCCCTGGTTGGGAAACTAGGATCCCACAAGCTGCGTGGTGAGGCCAAAAAAGAATTAATAAAGAGAAGCTTTTAAAAAAAAGAACTACTGCTCTTCGAAAGACACTGTTAAGAGAATGAAAAGGCAAGCCACATGCTTGGGAGAAAATATCTGCAAAACACATGTAACAGAGGACTAATAACCAGAATATAAGAATTTTAAATTCTCTAAACTCAGTTTAGATAAATTGTAAGTAGCAAAAGATTTTAACAGAAACTTGACCAAAGACGATATACATATGAGAATAAGGACATGAAAAAACACTCAACATCATTAGTCATTAGGGAAATGCAAAACAAACAGAGAGATACCATTTCCATATGTTAGAGTGACAAAAGCCCAAAATACAAACAATATCAAGTGATGGTAAGGATGCAGAAAAACTGGAACTCTCATATACTGTTGGGGAGGAAGCAAAATGATATAGCCACTCTGGAAAACAGTGCTAACAGATTAGCAGTTTCTTAGAAAGTTATGACACAGTAATCCCACTCCTAGGTACTTATCTAAAAGAAATAAAAACTTATGTTCACATGAAAATTATACATGAATGTTTTTAACAGCTTTATTTATAATGGCTGAAAACAGACCACACCCCAAATGGCCTTCAACTGTACATTCATACAATAGAAAACTAGTCAGCAACAAAAATGAACAAATTACTAACAACACAAAACAATGTGGATAAACCTCAAATGCTAAGTTAAAGCGAGACTCAAAAGGCTACACACTGTATGATTCCATTTATATGACATTCTAGAAAGGCAAAGTTAAAAGAACAGGAGACATATTAATGATTACTAGGGTTATCAGGTGGGAATAGGGGTTGACTACAAACACCAAGAGGGAATTTTGCAGGGTAAAGGAACAGTTTGAACCCTGAATAACATAAAAAAGCAACAAAAGGCAACCAAGTAAGACATTTAAAAATGCAATCTTCATCTTAAGCTACATGAAAAGACAAGGATAAACCAAAGGCTCGAAAGTACTAATTAAAGCTACTGAGAACAGTTAAGGTAGGGGCAGAAGTTACACAGAAGGAAGCAGAAAGAAAAGCTACAGGGAGTGCAGAGCAAGCCTAACAGCAGCAATTATCAGAAAGCACAAGCAAAAGTACACCTCCTTCAATGACATCACCATTTGTCTTCAAAAAAAACCAAAACACAGTGGAGGACATAGTTCCAAGAGCCCATCCCTCCATAGAAACATGAAAAAATTGAGCAAAAACTGTCAGAATCAAATTTGCCAAAACTCTGGAAAACAGCCAAAGCTATAGGTCAACCAAGCAAATGCTGAAACAAGAAAAGGGTGACTTATTGTAAAAACAGTATGAAAACCCTGAGGCATTTTTATTTCCCCTTCCTCACTCTTGGCTCAAGAGCAGTCTTGAATGCACTAGCCTACATTCCAATGGTTGGACCCTGGACCCTGGTTCTAGAGGTAGCCAAGAAGACTTTGTTCTCAAAGAATGTTTGTCTCTTGTGACCTACCAGCCTACCTGAAGGACTGACTGAAGGCACTCTCCTTTGTTTCATCGACTTGGATCTCACTTAAGACAGAAAAGTAGCTAGCAGGGGGCAATTCTTCAAAAATACTTTAAGGCCGGGGCTTCCCTGTTGGCACAATGGCTAAGAATCTGCCTGCCAATGCAGGGGACATGGGTTCCATCCCTGGTCTGAGTAGATGCCACATGCCATGGAGCAACTAAGCCCATGCCCCACAACTACTGAGCCTGGGCTATAGAGCCCGGAAACCACAACCACTGAGCCCACACGCCACATCTACTGGAGCCTGAGCG